GGCAAGGACTTTGGGGCAGGCAGTCACATTCCTGCCCTATCACTTCCAGGCTGTGTGACTTTCAGAATTTCACTCCTCCTCTCTGGGCCTCCATTTCCTCATCTGTAAAATGGGGATAAGACTAGTAGCTCCCTCCTATTCTGGGTACAAGATTTAACTGAGTTAGTACGTGTAAAATGCTTTGAGTAGTTCCTGGCTTATAACAAGAGCTCAATAAATGTTAGCAATTGTTTTGTAGAGTTTTGGGGTCTCACTACGTTGCCCTGGCTGGTGTCAAACTCCTGGCCTCAAGAAATTCTCCCACTTTGGCCTCCCAAAGTGCTGGATTTACAGGCATGAGATACTGTGCCTGACCATGTTAGCTATTATTAATATGAATATTATTAAGTACTCAGTGAATGCTATTTTGAGCAGTAGTAGTAAGCACTCAATAAGTGTCAGCTAATGCTATTATTAATACTCTCATCAATAAACATAAAAAAAAATAAGGACCCAGCTTGCCCAAATCCCACAGATGGTTCCTGCTCCCTCTCTTCTTCAGAGGAAGAAAATATCTCCCCACTTTCACCCCCAAAGCCTCGGCTGGCCAGACCCCCATTCTGAACCAGGGGAGCACTGCTAACTCCATTATGAATAGATACGTCAAACAACCCGGCCGGGAGAAGCATTATTCGTTTGGCTGATAAAGAGGTTCTAAGGCTCTTTGGAAATAAAACTTCATGAAGATTCATGCACTTTAAGAGGAAAAAAAAAAAATCCAAGATCAGTCATTCATCTGCTTTAAAAAAAAGTGGGAAAGATAAAACCTTATTTGAGAATATAAAATAATAAAAAGACATTTTAGTTCTCTGTTGTGGCAAAGCCAGTGGCCTTCCGAGGTCTGCCTTGTGCATGTTTCTTCTTCTTCAGCCATTCCTTGAGGCTTTTTGCAAACGTACCCTGTGTTTTTCATTCTTCAGCATATTGATAATTTTTTTTTTTTTTTTTTTTGAGAGAGAGTCTCACTCTGTCACCCAGGCTGGAGTGCAGTGGCGCGATCTCTGCTCACAGCAAGCTCCACCTCCCAGATTGACTCCATTCTCCTGCCTCAGCCTCCCGAGTAGCTGGGACTACAGGCGCCCACCACCATGCCCGGCTAATTTTTTTTTTTTGTATTTTTTTTAGTAGAGACTGGGTTTCACTGTGTTAGCCAGGATGGTCTCCATCTCCTGACCTCGTGATCCACCCACTTCTGTCTCCCAAAGTGCTGGGATTACAGGTGTGAGCCACCGTGCCCGGCCACATATTGATTTTTTTTTTTTTTTTTTTTTTTTTTTTTTGAGATACGGTCTCGCTTTGTCACCCAGGCCCCGGAGTACAGTGGTGCAATCACGGCTCACTGCAGCCTCGACTTCCTGGACTCAGGTGATTCTCCCCCCTCAGCCTCCCGAGTAGTTGGGAACTACAGGCGTGCACGACCATGCCTGGCTAATCTTTTGTATTTTTTTGTATTTTTTGTTTTGCCATGTTCCCAAGGCTGGTCTCCAACTCCTGGGCTCAAGCGATCCTCCCACCTCAGCCTCCCAAAGTGCTGGGATTACAGGAGTGAGCTACTCTGCCAGGCCGATCATATTTTTTTTCCTTTTTATTCACTTTGTCTTCTCCTCATTCCTACCTTCATCTGTCTTTCAGTGGCCCACTCCAGTGAAAAGTGGACTGACGCACATTCTATTTCATATAATTCAATGGCTGCTGGCCCCAGATCCTCCATACCAGGTGGCCGAGCCCAGTGGCCCTGCAGGGTGGACAGAATGAGGGTGGAACTTTCCCAGACTCTCAGTAAAAATCTGTGGAGGATAGAGCATCTGCCTCTCCCTTGAAGCCAGGCAGTGCCTCCTCCCAGGCCTATCTGGGTGCAAAGGGAACTTTTGCCAAGAGCTGCTCCACTGTAGAATTCTTATCTCTGCTGTTCGCATCCTAATTCCACCTGCATCTGTCACCATGACAACCCACTCCCCAAAAAGAACAGCAAGAGAGATGCTGGACTTTTGACCTCCACAGTTTATCCTGCATGGGGGCAGGGGGTGGTTAATTCTTTAGCACTCTAATTCTTACGGCACCCCCAATGGGCCCTAGTTTTTTGTTTGTTTGTTTGTTTAGAAACAGAGTCTTGCTCTGTTACCCAGGCTGGAGTGCAGTGGTACAATCGTAGCTCACTGTAGCCTCAAACTCCTGAACTCAATTGATCTTCCCACCTCAGCCTCCCAAGTAGCTGGAACTGCAGCCTCATGCAACCACGCCCAGCTGATTTTTTTTTTTTTTCCTTAGAGATGGGGTCTCACTATGTTGCCCAGACTGATCTCAAACTCCTGGGCTCAAGCAATCTTCCTTCCTCAGCCTTCCAAAGTGCTAGGATTACAGGCGTGAGCCAGAGTACCAAGCTGCCTGATTAAAGCATTGAACACCAGAGAGCCCAGCTCAGCTGTTTTCCAGCTGGGTAACACTGGGCAAATGACTTTGCCTCTCTGAACCTCAGTCTCTTCCTCTGAAATGGGGCCAATCACTATACCCATCGCAGATGCTGGTGGTTGCAGGGATGAAATGAGTTAATACGTGAGGTCCTTAGGACAGAGGGGTGGGGCTGAGCAATAAACAGAGACTGCTGTTATTATCACCCCCACATAATCTGATCTCGGGGTCTGAGTGTGCCCCAGGCAAGGTGTCCGCAGTCCTCCGCAGAAGGATGCCAAAGTGATTAGCTGGCACAAGAATGCCGTGCAGAGCAGGTGTTATGCAACTGGCCGCCTATTCCAGGCAGAGGATGCCAGATCCCCAGGGGGAAGGGGGAAGGGGGAAGGGGCCCAGCTTCAAAGTTTTCTGCCCCTTTTGAGTTCTCCTTGGAGACACTTTGGAAATGAAACCTCCTGGAAATTGATATTAGGCCTCTGCAGGCTGAGCTTGTTAAAATTTCCCAACAAACAGCCAACAGAAACTCTATGAGGAAGCAAAAACAAGACAAAACAAACATTGGCAGACCCTTTTCCATCCGCTCTTGGTAGATGGTATTCCTCTAAGAAAATGCCCCCACGAGTTTCTCCATGGCCTCTTGAGCTGGTGGCCAAAGGATTTAGGTTCTCTTTGAAATTATAACTTAACTGAGCCTGCTTTATGGTAGGGATCTCTCTCTCTTGAATGTGTATATACATATACAGGGCCAGGTGTGGTGGCTCACACCTGTAATCCCAGCACTTTGGGAGGCCGAGGCAAGTGGATCACTTGAGCCCCAGGAGTTCAATACCAGCCTGAATAACATAGTGAGACCCTCTGTCTACAAAAATTAGTAAAAGTAACCAGGCACAGCAGTGTGTGCCTGCAATCCCAGCTACCTGGGGTGGGAGGATCGCTTGAGCCCAGGATTTAAAGGTTGCAGTGAGCTATGTTCACACCACTGCACTTCAGCCTGGGCAACAGAGCGAGACCCTGTCTCTTAAAAATATATTATTATTATTATACACACGCATACCCACACACACGCATTACAGATAATGAGAAAATACTCTCAGCCAGGTTTTCACGTGATACACAACTTCTCAAAAAGCATCACAAGCAGCTTAGAACTAGGAATTTCTTTGTGGACTGTCCAAGATGTTGAGGAAATACTGGTTTAGAATTTACCTCATTTAGGCCAGGTACGGTGGCTCACGCCTGTAATCCTAGCACTTTGGGAGGCCAAGGCCAACAGATCCCTTGAAGCCAGGAGTTTTAGCCTGGCCAACATGGCAAAAATCTTGTCTTTACTAAAAATACCGAAAAAGAAATTAGCTGGGTATGGTGGCACACGCTTGTAGTCCCAGCTACTCTGGAGGCTGAGGCAGGAGAATCACTTGAACCTGGGAGGCAGAGGTTGCAGTGAGCCGAGATCACCGAGATCGCACATTACCTGTCAGCCTGGGTGACAGAGCAAGACTCCATCTCAAAAAAATAAGATAGATAAGATCCACGAGTTTCTCCATGGCCTCTTGAGCTGGTGGCCAAAGGATTTAGGTTCTCTTTGAAATTATAACTTAACTGAGCCTGCTTTATGGTAGGGATCTCTCTCTCTTGAATGTGTATATACATATACAGGGCCAGGTGTGGTGGCTCACACCTGTAATCCCAGCACTTTGGGAGGCTGAGGTAGGTGGATCACTTTAAGGTCAAGAATTCGAGACCAGCCTGGCCAAAATGGTGAAACCCCGTCTCTACTGAAATACAAAAAATTAGCCAGTCGTGGTGGTAGGTACCTGTAATCCCAGCTACTTGGGAGGCTGAGGCAGGAGAATCGCTTGAACCCGGGAGCCAGAGGTTGTAATGAGCTGAGATCATGCCGCTGTATGACAGAGCAAGATTCCATCTTGGAAAAAAAAAAAAAGGAGAAAAGAAGGAAAAGAAGTAAGATGATGGGGAGTTGTGGAAACCTGTCAGTGGGCATGTGAAGGTCTTGAACTCTGACCAAGAATTGAACAGCCCCTTCTCAATTCCAGGCGCTACAGGGATCTGGGACACAACTTCTCCCTGACCAAATTGTACCCTTCCCTTTTCTTTTTTTTTTTTTTTTTTTTTGATGACAGGGTCTCACTCTGTCACCCAGGCTGGAGTGCAATGGGACGATCACAGCTCTCTGCAGCCTCAACCTCCCAGGCTCAAGCAGTGCTCCCACTTCAGCCTCCCAAGTAGCTAGAACTACAGGCACACAGCACCACGCCTGTCCATTTATACATTTTTTGTAGAAATGGGGTCTCACTATGTTGCCCAAGCTGGTCTTGAACTCCCGGCCTTAAGCAATCCTCCTGCCTCGGCTTCTCGAAGTGCTGGGATTACAGGGGCGTGAGCCACTGTGCCCAGCCCAAGTTGTACTCTTGAAAGATGGAATCTTAGCTAGGATCCTGACCTGTTGCGTTTTATCCTAACTCAGTTGTTCGTTCTTTTTCATTCACTTGCCTTCCTCAGAGAGAACCAGGGCTCTGGGGTCCCTGTGTCAGGCCCCAACCTGTCAACCACCCGGCCCATCCAGCAGGACCTGGGCCGCCAAGACCCACCCCTGGCAGAGGACATTGACAACATGAAGAACAACAAGCTGGCCACTGCGGAGTCGGCCGGTCCCCATGACAGCCTCGGCCACGCCGGCCTGCCCCAGAGCCCAGCCAAGATGGGAAACAGTACAGACCCCGGCCCCACGCCGGCCATCCCTGCCATGGCCACTAACCCCCAGAACGCCGCCAGCCGCCGGATGCCCAACAACCCGGGGAACCCATCCAATCCCGGCCCGCCCAAGACCCCTGAGAACAGCCTTATCGTCACCAACCCCAGCGGCACCCAGACCAATTCAGCTAAGACTGCCAGGAAACCCGACCACACCACGGTGGACATCCCCCCGGCCTGCCCACCCCCACTCAACCACACCGTCGTGCAAGGTGAGACCCTCCGTCCTCACATCGCTGGGCAGGGGACCCGGCGCCCCTGGAGCCAGAGGCTCTGCTGAGTGACCCTGGACTGTGACCCCATCTCTCTGGCCTCAGTTTCCCCCCTGGAAAATGGGCATAGATGTAGTTTCCTACCCCGCAGGGCTGTGGAACATTCAGTGAGATAATTTGAGGACAGTGCCTGGCACGGGGACGTGTTCGATCAGGTTAGCAATATCTCCTACGTCCTTCCTTCCCTAGGGGAGCCAGGAAGTCACCCCGTTTGAGGAGCAATAGGGTCCTCTGATGGAAGCTTGAGGGGATCAGATGATTGATTCTCTCGGCCCAGCACTGTCCAAAAGAAATGTAACACAGGCCACATGCAAATGTCAGTTTCAACTTTCTAGTCGCCACATTAAAAAAAGGGGCCAGATATACTGGCTTGTGCCTGTAATCCCAGCACTCTAGGAGGCCAAGGTAAAGGGAGCCAAGAGGGCACCACTGTGCTGCAGCCTGGGTGACAAAGCGAGACTCCGTCTCAAAAAAAAAAAAAAAAAAGAAAAAGTAGTGAACTGCTGAGTAGATGATGTCTTAAGTGCCTCTAGTGTCAGTTCTGTGTGAGAAATTTTCATGGGTCTGCTGGATAAAGGCTTTCCATGGTCCTGAGACCTAAGATCCTAAGATCTTGTCACTGTGCCCATTTTATGGATGTAGGGACTGAGGCTCAGAGAGGCTCAGCCTGCCCGTGGGCACATAATCTGGCTGGGCTGCAGAATGGAAGCTCCAGAGGCTGATAGCTCCTCCCCCCGAGTCAAGAGAGGGGTGCTAATGGGGGCACGCCGTGCGGTTTATGGGAGGTCTCAGTATTTCCATCTGTTCAATGGATCTCTTGGCACTGTCCCTACCTGCCTGCAAGTGAGGACGTGAAGGTCCAACAAGGATAGGGGCAGGTCTGTGTTAATATCCCGTGAGGGCCCCACCACACTCAAGGCTATGGAGTGGTTGAGAGCAGGCTCTCGGGGGCCAGGCCTCCTGGGTTTCAAATGCCAGCTCTGCCACTTCCTGCTGTGTGACCTTAGACAAGTCACTTTACTTCTCTGTGCCTCAATTTCCTCATCTGTAAATGGGGGATCAGAATATATCAACCTCAGGGCCATACAAGGGTTCAGTGATGTCATAGGATGCCTGGTATATACAGCAGGCGCTTTATAAATGTCAGCAGCTTCTTGCCTGCCCTGGGAGTACACAGGAGTTCCCAGAGACTTGTGGGAAATTGTGGAGGGAGCCCTGTGTTGGTTCTTGTCCCAACAGTGAACAAAAACGCCAACCCAGACCCACTGCCAAAAAAAGAGGACGAGAAGAAGGAGGAGGAGGAAGACGACCGTGGGGAAGACGGCCCTAAGCCAATGCCTCCCTATAGCTCCATGTTCATCCTGTCCACGACCAACCCGTGAGTATGGCCCCCAGCAAGGGCAGGGGGACCTGGGGCTCCCACCAGGGTAGTAGAATTCAGGCCAGATAGAGGGCAATGAGTGAGTGTTAACCACCATGAGTCCAAGGGTACCTTTGAACAAACTGAAAACAGATGCTCCTTCCTTAAGTCATGTAAGATGATTTGTCACAATATACTGACTTTGTTGGAAGAGATCCCCTTCCTGCCCTCCGCTAGAAAATCATTGTCATAAATATCCAGATCTATGCTGTCTGTGATGTAAGAGGCACCCCCTTAGAAATGGCTGCCTTGTGTAGTACACAGCTTGAACAACTGCACATGGCAGCCCTAGGACCCAAACTCTGTTCCTAACCTAGACTCTGTAAGTGTTTAGATTCTGGGCGGACAGTCTCTGAGTTCCATGGCCTTCTGTCTTGGGCATCTTTGAAACGAATAGATTATTTAGGGGAGAATTATCCTGTGAGTGTCGTGGTGGCTGGGAGGTTATTTCAGAATTGAATGTCTCCCAAGGCTATTTCTTGAAAGCCTGACCCCTCAAAATGCTTCTTGATAATGAAGGATCATGTCAGATAAGATGGGGGGAAGCTGCTTTCTATAATCTGCCTCTTGGCAACTCACTCTGAGTAGTAATAAATAAAAGTACTTTTAAAATACTTTTTTATTTCATTGACTTATCGATTTTTACTAAGGAAACACTTATGTGGTATTTACTCAGTGCCAGGCACTGTTCTGAGTGCCTTAAAATTTTTTAAAAATTTCTCTGAGGTTGTTAGTATGCTTAGCTCCGTTTGACAGATGAAAAACTGAGGTCCAGAGACGTGAATTCACCTGCCCAAGGTCACACAGCAAGCCAGTGGGAGAGCTGGAGTTTGAGCCCAGACACTGGCTGTAGCCTCCTTGTTCTTAATCACTCAGCTCTGCCATTCACACAACCTTATGGACTATTTGTTATTGGCTCCACTTATTAAGAGGTTAACTGGCACATCCCATTGGTACCTTCAAGGCTCTGATAAGGCCTGCAGTTCATAATTTCAATAACTAACTTTTTGGAGCCCCTATCATGAGCCAGGTATAGATTAACTCTCGGGTCTCACGATTTTGTGAAGTAAGCATTAGTATTATGGCCATTTTACAGATGAGGGCACCAAGGCACAGAGGGGACAAGCAACTTGCCCAAGGTCACACAGCTAATTTTTAAAAAAGAAAGAAACCTACTTAACCCATAGATTCACAATATTGTTTGACCCTGGGACATTTAATATCGAAAAGGCTTTTTATCTCCTACAGAATTAAGGACCGTATTTCTTCAACCTAGCTTAGGGATCAAGATATTTCAAGAGGGTCGTTTGGGAGTGATAGGGACATTGTTAAACAGGGCATGTGAATGTCTTCTCTCACCAAGGTCCCCTCTGCCTTCTTGGGGTTCCAGGACCCAGAGAGGGCCCCCACCTGGAGGAGCTTAATAGTTTGTTGTGTATGAGGCCTTGGAGGTCGGAGATCTCAGGTAGTGATAGGTAACATGAGATTATGGAAGAAAAAGGTTTGCGAGCCTGTGGTCTGAGTGGACCTCTGCACACGCATCTGTCTCCAACAGCCTTCGCCGCCTGTGCCATTACATCCTGAACCTGCGCTACTTTGAGATGTGCATCCTCATGGTCATTGCCATGAGCAGCATCGCCCTGGCCGCCGAGGACCCTGTGCAGCCCAACGCACCTCGGAACAACGTGAGTCCCACAGAGCACGCCCCTTCCTAGCCTGGCTCCTCTGCCTCAGGCCACTTTCTCCTGCATCCAAAATGCTATAGGTAGGGTGGGATGTTGGGGGCACCCCTAGGCATAGCCCTTATGGCTGTTGGTTGAGAGGGGAAGCTCTGATTCCTTGGGGATGCTCTTGGAAGTAAGACATTCCTTGAGGCAGTGGCTGTGTGAGCCTGGTGGGGAGGAGGTGGCCCAGAGTGGCTGGGGCTGAAAATTGCTGGATTCTTTAATGGAGGCGTGAGACTAACAGGATATGGATGTTGCACACTCTCTACATGGAATCGGGGGGTTACTGGGGCAGGGGCGGTGCTCAGAGGTGGTCCCCTCTGCAGTAGACATTTCCCTTTGGGCACGAAGCTCTGAAAGAAACAACTATTTGGTTCAGAAAGACAGCCTAAGCTTTCGATTTTTATGAAAGCAAGCCCCTTTGCAGGTGATGGGTCTCTTGACAATCCCTGTTAATTGAGCACTTGCTGAGTCCCAGGAAGAAACTCAGCATGAACCATCCCGTTTCATCCTCACAATGCACCCCCGCTCCTTGCCCAGGCATCCCCACTTGACAGATGGGAAAACTGAGGCTCAGGGGAATGAAGGAGTGGTAAGTGACCTGTCCGGGGTCACACAGCAGAATTCCAACTCCGCATCCCCCAAAGCTCCTGCTGCTTCCCCCAGCTGTCTGCATTTACTAATCACCTACTGTATGCCACGGATGGGTGTGCGTAGCCCCTTTGAGTCCTGACAAGCAGGAATGAGTGCATGCTTGTGGTTGAGATGGGGAAACGGAGGCACCAACAGGCAAGGGCGTGCCTCGACCATGGGCTGCGGGCAGAGGCTTGTCCCCAGGGCCTGGTAGAGGGTGGACTGGTGGCTCCTGTTTCCCTCCCCAGCTCCCTCCCCCATCCCTTCCCTCCCAGCCCAGAGCCAAAGAAGTGTGTTTTCTGCTGGTCTGAGGCTCTGCTGCCCTGGCTAAGTAGGTTAGGACCCAGGCAAGGCTGGCAAGCCCCATCCCTCAAGCCCACCCACAGCTTACCATGCACTTTCCCTTCCTTCCCAGGCCTGGCAGGCCCCCCCAGGGACCCCATGGGGGAGATGGAAGGAAATAATTAGAACACAGCTCCCCGAGGAAGCCAGAGCCAGTGCCCAGCCTCCTCATAGCCGGCTCAGTTGCTTCCTCTAGCCTGGGTTCCCCCAGAGGCCTCCAGGAGCCAGGCATGGGGAGGGGGTGTCCCAGGAGGGGTCCACAAACCCCCTGCTGGCTGGAGGAGGCTGGGGAGGGCACAGGCATGGATGATGCGGGGGGGCACGGCAGCTCCCAAGGCTGAAGGGAATCTAGGCAGCGCTCAGATCGGACCCCAGGGAGTGTTTGCAAAGAGCATTCAGCTCCCCGGCCCCCTCCTTCGTCCATCTCGCAGCTGAAACTTCTCTACAAGAACACTGTGGCCCCATAACGTTCACACCACGTAACCGCCATCCAGGGCAAGAAATAGAACAAAAACGCCCCACGCGGCATGTGCCTCCTCGATCCCCCACCCCCACTGCCTTCCTTCCCTCTGGAGCTGCTAGGGACACTGTCTGGAGACATTTTTGGTTGTCACGACAGGAGAGGGGAGGTGCTCCTGGCATCTGGTGGGTGGAGGCCAGGGACGCTGCTCAGCACCCACCGACACGCAGGACGGCCCCCTCTCTAGAGAACGATCCTTCCCCAAATGTCCACAGAGCCCAGCCTGAGAAACCCTGCCTTACAGGTAACCACGACCCCAGCTTCTGGAATGAGCGTTTCTCAGCTTCTCTCTTTTTTCCCACCTGCACAGACTTTTTTTTTTTTTTTTTTTAAGAAACAGTGTCTCTCTGTCGGCCAGGTTGGGGTGCAGTAACGTGATCATGGCTCACTGCAGCCTCAACCTCCTGGGCTCAAGCGAGCCTCCCAGCTCAGCCCCTCAGGTAGCTAGGACCACAGGCATGCACCACCACACCCAGCTAATTTTGAAAATTCTCGTAGAAACGGGGCTTCGCTATGTTGCCACGCTGGCCTCGAACTCTTGACCTCAAGTAATCGTCCCTCCTCAGACTTCCAGAGCCCTGGAATTACAGGCATGAGCGACCGCACTGGCCAATTCTTAAAAACTAGAATTTATGTTTGCTGTTCTGTAACATTCAATAAATGCGACACCTATGCTTCCCCTTGTCACCCAACATTGTATCTGCACTAAGTGAGTATATGTTGCTGTTGCAGGATTGATGGGCATT